ACCCTTCTAACTAAAGAGCGATAGAATTGCCATTGAAAAGGATCATGTGTAGAAGGAGATGGAGGGAAAATTGGCCTGGCTTCATGGGTATGCCAACATGGGTTGGCAGTATTTACTGTTGTGTTGGAATTAAGTACTATTTAATATGGGATGGTCATGTTCAGTATATGAATTTCTGAGTCATTGAATTTGATGGCTTCATACATAGGTGAGGTTGTGTTATTTTCTTCCTGGTGAGAGAGCTTTGCCAGGAGCAAAGTAATTATAAAAAACAGCTAACATTTATATGATGCCAACTGACATTCTACAAGCATTCTGCATATGCTTATTTTCTCTTCACCGTAGGTAGCCCTGCAGATTAGGGACCACTGTTCGTCCTGTTTTTCAGATGAAATTGAGGAGCAATTTATCTCATTTGTCTCAGACCCTGTAGCGCTTGCAGCCAGACATAGTCTGCTCCAAAGGTTTTGCTGTTAGTCTTTGCTGTCGCCTTCCAGCTGGAAGTGGAGAAAAGGCTGTTAGTACAAGGAGTGCAAAGTTTGATGTGCTATACAGATTATCTTTGAGAGAAAATGGGAAAGTAATGCAGTTTACCGGCTGCTAATGGTGAAGGAGTAATTAATGGTTACTTAAAAAAGTTAGAACTGACCTCAAGCTCTGTAGGGATGGATGTCTGGCATTCGCTTCCCTGTGGTTTTTTTGGACGTAGTTGGCAGAGTTGTCTGATGGTAATAAGACAGCTTCTAGCTTCCTCATCAGACACAAGATGAGCGGAGTGAGGCCTCCGACCTGGCTCTGTCCTCACCTGTCCCTGAAGCTGTGAGCTGTCATGCTGCTCCCCGTTCTTGCTGACTGTTGCTCACTCTGCTCTGCCTGTTCACTTTGAGCACTTCCTGTTCTTTTACCTGTGGTTTTTCTGCACATCTTCAGGGATCATTTATTTCCTCTAAATTCCTGACCTGCCTTCTAGTTTTGATTTGAAGTCAGAAACTCAGGTAGGAATTCCACCCAGGCCCGAACTTCTAACTTTCTTGTTGTTTTGGACAGGTCAAAGGAGATCATTTAAAGGTGATCCCCACACTGCTCCATTTCCTTCACAGAGTTGTAATGAGGGTAGAGTAGAATAACTCATGTTAATCTCATGTAACGTGAAAAGCAGACCGTAACTATATGCAGTATTAATATCCCAAACTTGCCTGTGTGGGGTTGTCTACTTCTTGCTGTGGTGCCCTGGCTGTTGTTGGTTATGTTTACCTGATCGTTCTGTTGGCTTTGACTCTTACTCTCTTTGAATTTCTGAGCACTTGACTTAAGAGCGCTAGTTGGCAGTGATAGGGCACAATAAGTGAATGAATTACGCAAAAAAGCCTGTCTAAAGAAAGTTTGTGGTTATAGGCCCCCCCCCAGCAAACCCATCCTTTATATCTCTTCTTAAAATTTGTTTTGCTAAAATTATTTTCTTTTAATCTTTTTTTTTTTCAGGGTGCTAAATCCCAGTGCTTTTTGCAAGACCTATCTTTACTCTGTATTCTCTGGATCTTGGATTAGATGTGTAAAACATCTGGTAATCAGACTTTGTCCATTCACTTAACAAATGGGTAGTCCAGGTCATTTCCTGAGGCAGAAGGGGCAGCAGTGAACCATGCAGGTGGGATTCCTGCTTGCATGCAGTTTCTGTTCTTATGAAGGTATCAAATGATACAGATGTAGCAGAGTAAGTTGGAATTTTGGCTCATTTTAGTTTTGTCTTTGATGAGGACTCCCAAGACAGTGAGGAGTCCTGAACTGGTGTAAATAAACTGAGTGTGTAGTAACACTGTGCTTGTAGTAGTGCTATGCTTGGCTTACTGTGTACTGGATGACCTTGAAGGTATCTACTTGTCCTGCCAAAGAGAGCTTTAAGCTCTTATCAATTGGAAGGACTCTGGGTGATTAAGGAAGAAGGTGACTGCTACCTAGCCTTTGGCTTCAGGGAAGCATTGTGGTCTATATGGACGCCCTTCAGTTCTTGAGGCCTGTTTTTGTTCTGGTTGCTGGTATTTTGAATGTCTTGGAGGGACCAGGGGCCAAGGGATCAGGCTGGAAATTTGCTGATCAGCCAGTAACCTGTCTGGTCAGTACTGATGCTTCTTTACCTGTACCTCCCTGCTAAGGGAATGCTTTGTTTCCCTGTGGCTTCCTGAGCCTGAAGCTCTTTAACTGCAAGGATGAAGGCGAGAGATTGGATTGGGACATTTGTGGATTTCTTTGAGATATTAATGAGCGATCCCATTTCTGAAGGATGAGGCCAAGCTAGTTATAGGATGGATGATCTGGGAGTCACGCCAGTATCCCCAGGGGATCAAAGTGGAAAAAAGTTTGGAAACTTTGAGGAGTGTAAAGACATCCCAGAGGGTAGAGTGTAGGGCTTGAGGGGGACAGTCATGTGCAGTGGAGGTGCAGACAGGATGGCAGTGGGTAGTGTGGTTTAGCTGACAGTGAGAGGTGACTGGGCCACCTGTTCTTAATGCTCTGGCAGAAAGGGCATTTAGTGCCAGGCTTGCCAGTGGTTTGAGCTGCAGTTAGGACATACACCGTCCTTCCTGGCAGTCTGTCTGCACCTCCACTGTATGACTTCCACCCTGTTCTTCCCCTGTTCTGGGACGTGTCCTGCTGCTTCATTCCTCGGGGCATCTGGATTCCTGAGAAAATCAGGTCTTCTTTGTTAGATACTGTCCCTGTCCTCACAGAACCTAGCCTCACTCATACATCACTAAACCCCTGATATTTTCATAAATCAGTTGAATAAAAGAAACACCCTACAACAATCAGTGCTAAAATAATGACTATCACTTGTATACCTACAAAACAGGAAATCCTGAGATCAACAGAACATAGATGTCATGTTGCAACAGGCAGATTCTGAATACGGCTGTCAAGGATTCCTAGAAAGCCTATGTTGCTCCTAAGAATGACAGTAGTCATTGGTTGCTAAAGTGCTTGTTTAGTATGTGTGATGCTCTGAATTTAATCCCTAGGATTAGAAGTTCAAGGTCATCCTCCACTATATAGGAAGTTGGAGGCCAGCTTGGGTTGAGGACTTGTCTTTAAATAAACCAATAAGCAAACAAGTGAGTAAATCCATGGATAAGAGAGCGATGGTGTTCCCTGGTGAGCTGAAGCTACTTATTCAAATTGTACGTGATGCTCCAATAACTAGACCCATAGATTTTATACTGATGCTAATAAATCTGGGAAAGATGGTTAAAAATGAGATAAATTAAGCAATGTGGAACAAAGCACTTATACTTCTGTCCAGAAGGCAGAATTATATGCCACTCTTATGCTGCTAAGGGATTTTAAAGAACCGCTTAATATAGTTACAGATTCACAATATGTAGAGTTATATTGCATATTCAAACTGCAGAATTTATACAAGATGATACAGAGCTGACTTCATTGTTTATCCAGGTACAAGACATAATCGGGAACAGACTTTGTTTGATAGACATAACACACATCCGGTCCCATATGGGTCTGCCAGGTCCTATATCTCAAGGTAATGCAGAAATTGATCAGTTAATGATTGGAAGAGTGCTGCCTTTTTCACCAAGGTCAGTTTGTCAGCTACTAGGAGTCTACTGTTTGGTGGTGCTTTATTTTGGGCAGTAAAAATAATATGAAATTGAAAACTCATGTGAGTTTATAAACATTTTGGATGCATTATTCTGAAGAACTTGTAAAAAATTTTACACAAAAGGGCCTTCCATGGTAACCAGAGGAAGTCAGTTCTGTAGATCCCATGCTGTTAGCTCTGTGACTTGGGCACTGCAGAGATTGTGCCTCATGGAGTTACAGTATTAGTTAGGACTGCAAACCCAGGGAATAGTATTCTGAGCAGACTGAGTGGCACCATCCGTTTCTTTTCTTGAATAATCTTTAGAATTTTGAGACTGTTTCTAATTTCCCTTATATGTATAATTCTATGGCATTAACTCCACTAATCAGGATCTTGTAAATGGGACAAACAATGTTGCCATCTTAGAAAAATGGACAAAGGTTTGTTGAAAGTGGATAACCTCCCCAGCTGAGGTTTTTGCCTGGGTTGAGCAGGCCCCTGGGAAGAAGGAACCCGGTGGGAATGGTAACTGTACCACCCACCTCTCTGGCATGGCATGTAGTCCCTGATCACAGCAGGAATGCGTGATTCACAATATCAAGGGGGAGTGAGGGTGGGGCACCTAGGCGAGGGAAGGAAGGGAACACACGAGCCCAGTGCATGGGACCGCAGGGATGTATTGGGAAGACGTGCTTGGTCACAGTGCCTGGAGCACTGTGGTGGTGGAGAGGGAGGGGAGGTTGGTCTGCAGAAGACCTCCACCAGTGACCCCCAAAAGGCCACAGACTGTTCCCTCTTTGAGGCCCCTGTCAAAGCTGCTTCTTCTATGACTCTCCATGTCTTTTTCTCCCTAAAGAAACTCAACAGACCAACCCACCTTCTCCAGCCTTTCACCTGGTCTGTGAGTGTTGTCCCCAAGCAGTCCTGACGGTCTTTCATGGCCCTCACGGTTTCCTGCACATTGGTGTGGTGAGTGGTACCCCCTGTGCAGTTCTGACCTCTCTTAGGTGAATAAACAAATGAGAATACGGTATTGTTTTTTCTCATAAGGGAGTAAGACTAGCTTTATTTTTTTTCCATTTCTGAAAATTTTTGTGAATATTTTTTTATTTTTGTTTTATTTATTCTTTTTCTTTTTTCTTTTCCTTCCTTCCTTCCTTCCTTCCTTCCTTCCTTCCTTCCTTCCTTCTTCCTTCCTTCTTTTCTTCCTTTCTTTCCTTTTTTGAGACAGAGTTTCTTTTTAACAGCCCTGACTGTCCTGGAAATAGAAATCACTTTGTAGACAAGGCTGGCTGAGATACACCTTCTAACTTCTGAATGCTGGGATTAAAGACCTGAACCACCACACCTGGCTATATTTATGATTTCTAATAATGATGTAAATGCAAACTTCTCTTTTCAGATAATGTGGATGCAAGCGATCTTAAGCAGTTTTTTGAGACCAACTACTCTCAGATATATTTCATCTTCTATGAAAATTTTATAACACTGGAAAATAGTTTGAAGTTAAAAGGTAAGCATTTCTACAACTATTTTTTTTTTTGAGTTTACAGGAGATTCCAGATATTACATTGTCTTGAGCCACAAGTTCTGCATTTTTAAACTTTCTTTCCAGGCTTTGAGATATCACTCTGGTGGGCTGGTTGACATCTTTGTTTCCCTTGAGTGTTCCCGTAAACAGGTGTTAATTGAACAGCAGATGGCTAAAGGGAAAATAGAAGGAACCTGCAGAAGGCATGAATTCCAAAGGGACAAATTATTTAAAGAGCAGGGGAGAAAAATAATGCAATGGACAGTCTAAAAAAAAATCCAGATTTAAGATGAATTTGGTGGTACAAGCTATAACCCTAACCCCAGAACTATGGAGGCAGAGATAGGAAAATCATGAGTTCAAGACTCATACATAGTGGCCTACATAGTGAGACCTTGCTACAAAAAGCCAGACACAATAAAACAACCCCAGAAGCAGAATCAAATTCCATTAAGGGGGGATGTGAAATGAAATCAGGTGTGTCCTTTACCCATACCTTCCATCCTTAGAGATTTTTTTTGTATTACCAATGAGTTTTGTCTGTATATGTTTTCCTTTTTATGCCCATATATAAAATATTCTTTGGAAAGCAAACCAGCTATGGGAATTTGGGTGAAGGAACTGTGTAGCTGGGAAGCCAGACTATCCTCATCCTTCTTGCTGTTTCTCCTTGAGCATTATTTGACCTATGCATGTTGGCTTCCTCCTGTCAGCAAGAAGCAGGTTAACAGATGCACTAGGATTTCAGCACAGAGCTTGGCACACAGCACCTGGTTAGTAAGGGCCATTATTGTCTTTGCCTTTCCGTTTCATGTCATCTGTTTGGGAAATTAGGGGAAACAAATGGAAGTGTTTTTCCCGGTCTCTTACACCAACACAGCATATCATTCTGCTGCTAGAGTCCCCAACAAACATCAGCTGGTGCCCATTAACGCCATTCAGTCTTGCCAGACTGCAGGGAAGTAGTTTCAGATGCTGCAGGGTAAGGGCTGAGTGCCACAAAGCTGCCCCCTTTAATGCCAGTTGCAAGTTCTAGGTTGCTGCCTGTGCAGTGACAGACTGTCCATAATTAAGAGTCTAATACTCTCTTTGCAGGGTGGGTTAATTTGATAGAGGAGCTGGGAGAATGTAGGGAAACACCTTACCTGTTTATTACAAAATTTTAGTTCATTTACTGAGTTGCACATGAATAATACAGATTTTAAAGGGAGCCTATGAGCAGATAAAGCTGTGTGTGAAGTCTGGAAGGTCCTGATTACGGATTGCCATGGAGTTGGAGAATACTCTGCATGTACATGATACATTCTTCTTCACAATCTGGGAGCTTCCTTATCCAGAATGTCTTGGGTTTAGTGGAGGTTTCATTATGTAGGCATGATTGGTCACTCTGTTAGCCATAGGGATGAACTCAGCCTGAAGGTTGTAGGTGGGTAGATGGATCTGAAAGCAGAGTTTGAATGGAGAATAGAATTGCAGGTAGAGGACAGAGCCTGAGCAAAGGCAGTGTGCCTTTAGGGCATGTGTGGGGAATGTGTTTGTTTCTTTTTCTTGCAATTTAAGGTAATAGAAAGAAGTATGTAGGTAATCCTATTTTGAGCCTTGACTTCCAGGCTAGGGATTTGGGTCTTTGCTTTTAATTATATCCCATAAAAAACATTTACCTCTGAGACAACTTAAGTGGTGAGTGAATAGGGCCCAGAGGTGAGTTGGGGGACTGACTGGTGCTGTCACTCAAGCGAGAGCTGCTAACACAGCAAGGTGGTGATTAAGGGAGGGGAAAGAGTTCCTGTGAGACTGGATACTTAGGAGAGGGAGAAGTCAAAGAACCTTTCAGGGTCCCAGTTTGACTTATGAGGTACAATTGTAGCTTCAGAAACCTTCAAGGAGAACAATATTTGGGAGGCAAGAAGATGAAGGCAGCTATGACCAGTCTGTATTTGAGGTTCTTGTGGAACACAGAAATAAGTATTGGCTGGGCAGCAGAAATATAGGTTATCTGAGCTTGGGGAAGGGGATAGAAGGCTGCTGTTGCCAAGGGAGAAAGTATATCAAGGAAAAGGGAGTCAGCAAATAAAGAGGAGAGAAATATATTAGTAGAAGGGGGTTAGGAAATTGTGTTGTCACAGAAGCCCAGGGGGGAGAGATTTCAAGGCATGCAAGATCAGAAAGCCTGATGATGCAGAAAGATGAGATGCAGTGGGATTAGGAAGTGAGAGCTTATGTCTGACATGAGAACATTTCTTAGTGAGGACCTGTCAGAACTTGACAGGTGGGCATGGAGCGGAGGGATGTAGAGCTGAGGAAAGCACCCATGGAGCTGCCATGTAGACTGTGCTTTAGCTGGTCATGGGGAGAGTTGCTATGGACCGTGCCTGTAGGCAGTCCGGAGAGAGATAGCAGATATAGTGGGGCTTGGAGAAGGGCGTGGGGGTAAAGTGAACGGTAGAGAGACAGAGAGATGAGTGCAGAGTGGCTTTTTTGTCTAACGAGATAAGCTAGAGGATGAATGTAGACAGACTTTGGTTGGTAGGAAAGAAAAACTGAAGAAACAACTCAGTTGCTGTGATCAAACAGAAGTGTGCCCTGTGTGTGGAGGAGAAGGGCTATGGACCCAGGGTTCAGTGGGCTGGGGTATGCAGCAGGGGACGCAGAGTCTTACCAAGAGCTTGGGGCTCTAGCCTACATCATATGACGCAGTAGCCTGTGCCAGGGATGCCAGCGTGTGCTCTTCTTAAGGTGTTTCTCAGTTTCCATCTCCAATTTAAGCTGGTATAAATCTTGAGCTTAAGAAAATTTATTTTGGCTCCAAGCGTAGATATGCCAAATGTGAAATGATCAGTATTTACTTTGCTAGTTTTGCTCTACTCTACTTTGGTTTGGAGGAGAAAAGGGTTATGTTTTTTTTTTTTGCAATCAAAATAGCAATTAGCTGAGTGTGGTAGCTCAAGCCTTAACACCAGCATTCAGGCGGAAGTAGGAGGATGGATTTCTGTGGGTTCAAGGCCAGCCAGGTCTATATAGTGAGTTTGAAATTTGCCAAAGCTACCTAGTGAGACCTTGTTGCAATACACACACACACACACACACACACACACACACACACACACACACACCCCAAATAAAAACAAAATAGCAATGAAAAAATTTAAAATATCACATTTAAAAATAAGCCAACTATCCAAAGTTATTTTGTCATAATTCATTTTCCCTTTTCCTTTCCTCTTCTTTTTTCACCTTTTTTACATCCATTCTTTTATAAAATTGTAGTATTTCAAAACTGTATTAGTTTGTGCAGTATGAAAAATCACTCCCAAATTTGATGCCTTAAAACAACCACTATTCCATGTGTGGTTCTCTAGGTCTGCTGGGAAGTTTTTCTGGTTTAGCCTAGCTTCTGCTCCTTGGTCAGCTGTTTTGAATGGCCTCACTCACGTGTCTTACAATTGACTAGAATGCCGTACTTCTCCATGTGGAGATTCATTATCCAGCAGGCAGGCCAGATTGAATTCCTTTACAGGATGGCCTCAGAGTCTCAGCATCAGCCAGAACACCTCACATCTGCTAGTGTCACATTGGTCAAAGGCTATCGTGAGGCAGTTCAGATTCAAGGGAAGGAGACATCTGTTTATGGTAGGGAAGAGACTGTGCCCCATTTTGGAAACTCTCCCAAAGATTCAGTGATAACCAATAGGAACAGTGGGAGATTTTTGGAAGCTCTTGCTTTTAGTGCAGTCTGCATTGGAGTGCAAAAAAGAAAGTGAACCCCCTCCCAAATAGAAGAAAAATGTTTACTAGGAGTAATGAAATCACTTTATGGTAGCTTCAGGCTTTCAGAATAGGACAAAACCTTGGAGATGCTGGCTGTCTTCAGAATGTATCATTGGCCTGTCTCCTTGTCCACACTGATTATCCTTGTCTAGACTGGCATTAGCTTTAGGAAGGGTCTCCTCACTTCCATTCTTGTGCTTTCGTCTACCCCAAGTTTCTTTTCAGAATAGTAGCTGAAGCCACAACTCACATGACCACTGTAGCTCTAGTCTTCAATGGCTTTTCATTCTCAAATCATTGTAGTGACTTTATCTGATCTGCCTTCCTTTGCCGCACCTACTCTCTAAACTCATCTGCTCAAATCTTCCCCATCTTTGCTCTAGCCTCCAGGTCCTTCTGGCTGTTTTCCGATGTGCTCAGCTGCAGGAACTTTGTCTGGTCCACTCTCCCTGCCTGGGGTGGAACTCCCTCATATTTCTGTAGAGCTTGCTTCTTTGCCCATTGTACATCTTTGCCTAGTTGTCGCTTTTCCAGCAAAGTATTTCCCAACTTCCCAAGTCAGAATTGCATATTGGTTTTAGTATTCCTCATTTGCTTTTGATAATGGGTTTCCTAACTTATTTATAGTTTGCCTTCTACTGTCAAAATGTAATCTTCCCCAGAGTAGGGAGTGTTGTTTGGTTGGTTTATTCCTTTGTCCCCTGGGTCCAGCAGAATTCCTGAGAAACAGACAGTTTTTAGTATTTGTAAATGAGAAGTCAGTTAGGTCAGGAGCCTGCAACTGATAGCTTACTTGACTTTTGTTTTGTCCTTGTTGTTGAGACAGGGTTTTGCTGTGCAGCCTAGGCTGGCCTTGAGTGCCTGGTGATTCTTGACCTCCCACACTAACAGTGTTACAGTCGTGAACCACCATGCCCCACCGGATTCGTTGGATACAGTCATCTCCCTTCATTTATGTACAGCCTGTGGCAACAGAGTCTGATAGTTGTAAGAGATCTGAAAAGCCTAAAATATTTACTATCTGCTGATTCTTAAGGTAGATGACTTAAGCTACATGCTTAGCACAATGTTTGGGACATATTATAGACAATAAATGATAATTCCTGCTAGAGGCAAATAGTACAGTTTTTTTTTTTATTACCGATTAATATTATCAAAAAGGGCATTGTGGGGCTGTGAGTGTAGTTCAGTTGATAGAGTGCTTTCCTACCTGAGTTTGATTCCAGCACCACATAAATCTAAGTATGGTAGCACACCTTTTGTAATCTAATTTTAGTTCTTGGGAGTTAGAGGCAGGAGAATCAAAATTTCAAGGTCATCCTTAGCAACAATGATACCCTATCTCAAAAAAAGAAAAAAATGAAGCCTGAAATTGTGTAATGAAGGAGACAGATTCTTGTCTAAAGATGTCATGCTCTGTGCTTGTTAATATTATCAAGGTTTGCACCGCGCGTTTTTACTATAATTTCAGCTGGTGAGTACCTAGTTAAGAAACAAACTTTAGAAAACATGGACGTTATAAGAGAGTAAGAGGTGGCTGTGGGTGACATGGACTCGATGTACCAACTCGGGGCCCTCTTTCTAGCAGTGCTCCCCCTGAGTGTCGGTAGTTCCTAATGCATGTCTGCAGCATGTGAGATGCCTTTCAGCATCGTGTATGAGATTCCAAAGCTTAAGTGCTAGCATGTTGACTCATTTTTTTTTCTTAATTTCCAGGGAATAATAAGTCACAAAGGGAGGAGCTGGACTCCATCCTCTTTCTTTTTGAAGTAAGTTTTGGTACTATTATTGTTATTGCTACTTTTTATTGTTATTATTTTAGCTTTTAAAATCCTTGTTAAAAATGCAATACTTTATTTGAGCCTTCATTTTGCCTGAAGACAAATAGAAATGGCTGTGCATGGCTGTACCTTGCCCTCTCCCTACTTTTACAACAGATACTGCTAAAAGTGTTCATATGATTTTTCTTTTAAAAAATGTACTAAAGTGTCACTTGTGTGACCAACTAGATGTAAAGATACTAGTTGGACAAGTAAACACATTCTAAATAGTAATAAGCTATTGCTGTTTTCCTTTCCATATGAACTTTCATGTGAGTTTTACATAAATGTCCTATGTCCCCAACCTGCAGGTGATATACAGAAACTCAATTTTCCACATATATGTAATATTTAAAATTTTATTTTTATGTGAATGGATGGGGGTGTGTTGCCTGCATTTGTGTCTGTGCACCAGATGTTCAGTGCCCTTGGAGGCTAGAAGAGGTGTCAGATTGCTGAGGATGGAGTTACAGATGATTGTTACCTGCCTGGTGTGTGCTGGGATCATACCCGGGTTCTCTTGAAGAGCAACTACTGATTGGGTTTTTGCATATCTGTGTCTCTGTGTATATAGGTAGTCTTTAAAGCTGGAACGGTATTTGCCAGTGTGTTTTTTAATTAAATTAGATTTCATATGGGTATATGTGCAGGATTGTGCTGCAGGCATACTCCACAGCAAGCATGTGAATGTCTGCCACAGTAAATTCTCTCCTTTCACCAGGTGGGTCCCAGGGACTGAACTCGGGCTGTCAGGCTTGATAGAAGGGGCCTTTACCTGGTGAACCATTTTGCCAACCTCTTGGCAATGTCTTTGCTTTTGAATGTTTTTGAGACAGGATCTCTTCATGTATCCTTAGCTGTCTTAGAACTCTATGTAGACCAGGCTGGTCTTGAACTTGAAGAGATGTGATACCACATCCAGCTTTTGGCAATTTTTTTTTTTGTCTGTTTAAATATAAAATTCTTCTTCCTCAGTGTACTAGGCAGGTGCTAGATTATGAACACCAGAAGAACTAGACTCAGAAATGAATTACAAGTTCTTATGAATTACAAGTTCTTTCTTTTTAATTTTTTTTTTTTTTTTTTGAGACAGGGTCTCTCTACATAGCCCCAGCTGTCCTAGAACTCTTTGTGTAGACCAGGCTGGCCTTGAACTCACAGAGATCCACCTGCCTCAGCTAAAATTAAAGGTTGTGACACTGTGCCTGGCTTATAAATGAATAAATTATAAATTAAGAAAAATATTTACTTACTTATTTGGTGTGTTCGTGTACATTTCACAGTGCATGTGTGAAGGTCAGAGGACAACTTTTGGGAGTGGGAGTTCTATCCTTTCACCAAGTGGGTTCTGGGAACAAACTCAAGCACTTTTATAGACCGAACTACATAGTGGAGCCCTGTATTATAAATTCTCAATGTTAATTATTCATAGTTTGAAGCAATATGTGCATAGTTTGATCTAAGAAGATAAACTGAAGCTGGGCAGTGGTGGTGCACGCCTTTAATCTCAGCACTCAGGAGGCAGAGGCAGGTGGATCTCTGCATTTGAGGCCAGAAAATTCATTTTTCCTCTTTTTGCAGATATCAGTTGCAGATAGCTTATTGGTTAGAGGTAATTCTAATAGCCAAAGTACTTAGTAGTTTAAATCTGTTGGTTATCTTTCCCAACACAGTGGCTTATTTTTCTTCATCTTTTTTTTTCATTTTTGCTTCTGTTATAAACTCAATATGAATCACACAGATTTAATTTCTGTTAAGCCTTTCTTTCTCTAGATGGATTTGTTTCAGCTTTTGACAGGAATTTGGGAGTAGTTTCAATTAGAATTCTTTTATATTCCTTTGAGGGTTACTAATGGGATCTCAGGTTGAATATCCAGAACTTCTGAGGGTAGGGCTCAGGGACTAGAAGAACCCGACATCTGTCCAGTACAATGTTGGCATGAGAATATGCTCTTTGGCTTCTGTATTCTTCTTTGCTTGTAGATCACAGGTCTTTCTGCTACCCTTTTTCCTTTTCTTTTCTTGCTTCTGTCTCTTCTATTATTTTTGTTTGTTTATAGTTTTCCTGAGTCCTCAAAACTGTGCACTGCTTTGAGAGTTATATTTGTTGTTTTGATCCTAGTTGTTCCAAAGGTAGGAAGCCTTCAGAGTTCTGAGTCCTAATCCTCCCACAAAGGAAGTCTGATATTTTCTTTCCTGTCCAGAAATTCCTCACTAGAGAGGAAGCTATTAGTGATACATTACTATTTACAGAGAATTAGTTCCTTATGTAGAAAAACAAATATATATTATTCAAAGCTTCATAAAACTTTCACTTTGCATAATAAATATGGGTGAATGATGCACTTGCATTTCTTTTGTTTATGCTGTATGCTCTGCTCTAGCTTTATAAGTAATTTGTATATTTCATTCTGGGCACTAAGCGACTTCATTGCTGCTTTCTACATTAGAAGTGGTTTATGAGGGCTCTGAGATGAATACTCAACCAACATGTAAATAATTGAGAAAGGCTCCTTTTAGAAGAGGTAGAGTTATTGATATGTTAAATTATAGAAGTGATCCTGTGTAGGACTATTCTATAAATAAGAAAAGGGTTGGAAGAAAGTCGAGAAGTAATAAAGTTATCGAGGAGGACTGTGAGAGAGCTACACCTTGCCTTGGTAAGGGCCAAGTGCTGGGGCAGCTTTGGCAATGGAAGCAGTAGTTCTACAGTGTTGTCACCTGTTGGACAGTACAGTGTCTGGTGAAGTTAGTGATGAACAACTAAGGTTGGTAGCTCAGGTCATAAGTTCCAGGCTATGGATGATTGTACAGAGATGAAATCTGTTTGCCTTTACTTCCAATGGGAGCACATGTCCCTCTGGAAGATGACTTGGCTAAGTGATACTTGCAATATCACTTAGGATTTCTATTTCTGTTGATCCATGAAGATGATTCTCATCCTTTTTTAATATTTATTTTATTGTTGGCAGAGACTACTTATTCATTCCTGGCTGCCCAGACCCAAGATAATCACACAGAAACTGCATTAATTACAACAGTTTTTGGCTAATAGATAGCTTAAGTGTATTGCTAGCTAGTTCTTATTTCTTAAATTAACCCATTTCCATTATTTTATGTTTTACCACGAGGTTCGTGGTTTACCAAGGTTCTGACTGGCAGCTTGCATCTTTCTCCTTTGACAGCTACATGGTGTCTCTCCCTGATTCTGCATCTTTTTCTTCCAGCATTCAGCTTAGCTTTCCTGCCTAACTCTATTCTGTCCTGCTATAGGACCAAAGCATCTTTATTCATTAACAAAACACATTCACAGCATACAGAGGGGAATCCCACATAATTTTATTGTTATTATGGTTATGACTAAATTTTATTCTTCTTTGAAAAACATTTGTCTATCACTGTTGGTCGTTTCTAATAGAGATGTAGGACCTCAAAATATGAATTTAATTACCACCTTACATTGACTAGAACCTGTTTTACAAGGAACATTCTAGTTTAATCCTTTTCTTCTAAAATAGATTATGTTTTTCTAGGTTGATGTGTGTGTGTGTGTGTGTGTGTGTTGCTGTTGGTGGTCACATGTAGGCTTTGACCTTTGAGTTACATTTCCAGTTTTTAAAGATTTTATTTTTAATATGTGTATATGTGTGTGTCTGTGTGGGTTTGTGCATGTGAGTGTAGTACCTGCAGAGGCTGGAAGAACACATCAGATCTGGAATTTTTACCAGATGTAGGTGCTAGGAACTGAACTCAGGTCTTCTGCAAGAGCAGTATGTATTCTTAACTGCTGAGCCATCTCTCCACCTACATGTCTCAGTTTTTTTAGAAGAAAGGTTGGGAGGTCTGTGTAGTTAGGTGACCTGTCTCAGATTGCATACTTACCAAGTAGTAGCTCAGGGGATTACCTGTGTTCATAACTCATTGCCATGTTGTGAGTTCTACCACTATCCCACACCTCTATTTGAAACATCCTACCATTGGAGAATCTGGATACTATTCTGTCTTCAAGCTGCATTCTGCAGAATATTTCTGTCAGCTCATGCCCATTTTTTTTAAAAAAATATTTATTTATTAATTATATATACAGTGTTCTTCCAGCACCAGATCTCATTACAGATGGTTGTGAGCCTC